AACAGGCCCTAACTTTTTCTTGTTTGTTCTGGTTTGCCTCTTAGAGTGAACGTCGATGTCTGGTTAACCATGTGTTAAGATTCACAGCTCTTGTTTTGGAACATTCTTATACAAGACAGCTGTACAACTCATCCGAGGTAGGTGGTACTGATGCTGCAAAACATGTTTTCTTTTTCAAGAGTTTTTGATGAAAATAATATTTACAAAATGGAATAGATGGAATAATTATTGTTAATGTGCGGACTGCATTGTAGGTGATTCTGCCATCTGCAAGTTTCAGGTGCATCCTCAATGTTTCAATATTCTAAGGGTATGATGGATCCTACAAATTGCCAGAAAATACTTTTGCAGTTGACATACAGCGTAAGATGCGTGAGTGATGGAAGAGGTGTTGTTTGATGTAAAAACACAACCATTACAGTGTATATAAGTTAGCATCTTTTTTGTTCTTTTTTGCAGCATCTTGTTTCACTTTTGGTTGCAAGTGATATGGAAGTTGTTCTTTCTGTTCTTGGTGTGCTTTACGTGTTTAGGTATGTAACCTTGTACGCTGTTGCTAGAAGTGGCTGTATATGCTTATGGCTCATCAAACCAGTGTAAAACTAAAGTGTATGCTTCAACTTATTAGCCGGCTGACTAATCTTATTTGGTCATTAATGTTTTTGTCAAATTCACCGTGGTAATAGTTTCTTAAATGATATAATGAAAATGCTTGACGCATGTATGTTTACTTAACAAGTTATGCAAATTGTATCACACATCATTTGCCATTTCAAAATCAGTTTACCAAGTATTTTCATTGCTGCATGACCTTAAAACTCAACACCACTTGGAAATAGATTTTGGTCGACCAAACAGGTCAAATGTACTGAAGCCAGGCACTTTTGTATCCTTTGATTGACTGAGATCTAATTTCAAGTGGTTTTGATTTGAAGGTTGCTTACATGTACATGTAACAGTGAAAATAATGATATGATAAAACAGGCTGTGTCATTTAACGGTGCTTTGAATTTTTTTGTTCCAAATTTCCTATTGTTGTTTGTTTGTTTGTTGTGTACAGTAAGAGATCCAGCTTCATCCCCAGGCTACCAGGAGACAAAAGGAAGGCAATACAACAGCGCCTTCACTGTTTAGGAGAGGTTAGTTGCTTGAACACATGAAAATTGATAATAATATTGGTGACCAAACAAAAACGACACTTTGTGCAATGTTACTTGATAGGTTTTTATTATCGAAATGACTTCCTGAGTGTGACATAAATGCTAAATTTGAGGTGCCTGTGACATCTGAGGGCTCAATACGGCTTTTGGGAAGAACAAAAGTGCAATGTATTGTAATTTTTGATCAAAGTTACTGTGGCTAAATAAAGTTTTCTATCTACCTAACTACCTACCCACCCACCCAGTTATCGACAGGTTGCATATTTGGCAATTCTCATTACAATTTTGCCAAAATTGTTGTTTCCTCGTTGTTGCAACCAGATGGTGTCTAAAACAGTCACGGCCTTGATCCCTGCAATGGCGGCTACGTTTGACATGTATTATCTCAGGCTCTTAGTGATTGCAAGATTTTCTTATTTTCTTCAAGAGCTAATCTTTAACCCCCCCCAATCCCCAAGTCTAGTAATCTCTGTATAGGTGTATGTGAGCATGAGAAGAATGTTTGATCTTTTCTAATCTTTTCTTGTAAAATTAAACTAGACGTGGGGTGGTAAGAGTGCAGGATTTGGTCTGAAGCACTGCTGCTGTGATCTTCCTCTCAAAGTAAGTACAGCCTGTTGGACCTTTGCTGCTTGGTTTGTGTGATTAAGTTTGTCTAGGTTAATGATGCATTGCTAATAACTTACAATGATGAGAGCTAATTAAACCAAAAAAAGCCATCCCTTAAGAAGTCGCGAATAAACCAATTAATATTCATGGTGCAAACAGGGGGTGGGGGAGAGGGTGTAGTAGAAACTTGCAGATTCGTTGTCTTAATTCTTGCAGCATAGCCTCCTTTACTTTTTTAAGTATTGGGAAAAACATTGCTGGAGTGGATGGCTTCATGCATGTGCTTTTTAGTGTTTTATTGCATGTATAGTAAGAATCTCTTTTTTGATAATTGATGGACTGTTTGACCATTTGCTTGTAAATGTAAATTTAAATTGCTTCTCTGTATTTCTCTGCAGGAGTTTCCTGCTAGTTGTGCCGATGTCTACTTTGAGTTTTACAATGAAAACACAAGTACCCCTTCAAATTCACAGTCAGACTCACAGGTATAAAGGCCTCTGTGTACTTTGTATCCAAACATTGTATAACTTTTCATTTTGTTTGAGGTGAGAGTATTTTGATAGTAAAAAATTTGGCAATCAGGGCTGCCCTAGCAGCTGTAGCAGCACCTGTGGCCCTTGGCCCTTCTTTTGCTCTTACACGACAGGGAAATCTTAAGTTTTTCAAAGGTACACTGTGTCCTATAATGGGCACCCTAGATGGCTCAGTTTCAAAGCACTGGGCCCCCTTTTTAATTTTTATTAGAGTGTGCGCTTGGCATTCAAAGGGCTTCATGCAAAAATATGCATGTAGTGTCCCCTGTCCCTGCCCCCTACCTTATTTTTGCAAGGAGCCGTTATTATTGCACTGACGCTGTTTCTTTGTTTTGGCAGACACCAACCACAGGAAGCCAGTTATGTTCTGTACATGTCAGGCAGCTTTATCAGGTATCATTCTCACTGTAAATTAAAGCAGGTTTTATGGCATGCCTTAAATACAGCTACATGTAGATTAGTAGGTCATGGTCTGCAGAACATGATTTTTTGCGGCTTTTTTTTTTTAGCCATTTCCAAAGGCACGTTGTAAGTAAATAATTTGTACACTCATGGCTTTGAAGTAACCTTAGCTGGGAGGCCTAGGTGCTATTGTCTTTTACCCTGGATCAAGATGTCATCTTGATTTCCATGTGGATGCTGTACCTTGTAGAAATGGTTGTTTCATTTCTAGGATGGGGATGTATAATGTTAACATAGTCTCCTCAATAGTTGATTGGGGCCCAATGAAGTCAATTAGGTTATAAAATTAAATAAAATTATCCCTCTAGACTCTATAGATGACATATCCCCACTACCAAGCTTTAAACCCCTATGTCAGATTAGTACATTCTGTCAATGCTACAGTGGAACCCCGTTAATACGACCACCGTTGGGCCATAAAATCCTGGTCGTAAAAACGAGGTGGTCGCATTAATGGGGTCTTCAAAATAATATAATGAGTCAATGTTTTTTACTTTTGGTTTGAAAGAATATGGTCGTAATAACGAGATGGTCTTATAAACGGGGTGGTCGTAAGGCAGGGCTCCACTGTACTTCAATGCTTGAAGTTATGCTTTTTTAGATGTACAGTTGAATTCCAGTCTATAGACACCCTCTTTATACAGACACCTCATTATTATGGACAGTTCGCTTTGTCCTTGGGGAAAGAAAGCCCTTATATTTTCTCTAAATTTAACCTGCTTAACACGGACACCCTGTTAAGACTGACATTTTCTATGGCCCCCTCAGTGACCGTATTACCAGGGTTTGACTGTACAGTCAGCTCTCTCTAAGATGGACACGTTTGGAACCGGTATTAAATTTCCATCTTAAAGAGATGTCCATCTTATAGAGGGTCTAAAAGAGGGTTAAAGGAAGGAAAGGGCCAACTGTAGGTGTGGGTTTTACAGAGGTGTTCGTCCTATAGAGGTGTCTGTTGAGAGAGAGTGGACTGTACTTATTAGGAATCTTATTGTGGTTATCTCTGCATAGTTCTCAGAGAATCCTGGAGAAGTTATGGAGCAAGTGATTACTTGTTACAATGTACCCACTGATAAACAGGTACCTGAATAAAAGATAGTGTGCCATCAGAATACTTTCTGCTCTATGTCAGTTCTTGTTTTATTTGAATGAATGTTTTTCTTTTCTCTACATAATACTAAATCAGAAATATTATTCATGTCTTTTTTTTATAAATGCTAAAAATATTATGTTAAATCTTGTTTTTGCATCAGTTGTAGAAGAATAGACTCACTAAATTATTGCTGCATGTGCCCCACTTGTGTAGAATGATGAAATGATAAGTTTTTCTCCTCTCTTACAGGTTAACCTATTCAGCAGAATTCGATTGGCTAAGCATTTTCCTGTTTATGAGAAAAGGTTGCAGTGTATCCAGGCTCGATTGCAAGCTATCTCGGTGCTATGTAAGTACATGTGATGCATTTGTCTGAAAAAAAAAATTAAACAGTGAGAGGCTTATTTGGTCACTTTCAGTTCTAAGCCTCTTCCTGATGTCTATTTTCAATGGTCTGTAATTTATTTATGATGGGCAGTCATCAAACTCACATTAGCTTTGTGGTTATTAAGGGTGTTTCTAAACTCCATGTGTACTTTTAATTCTTTACCATGTACCGCCAGTATTTCTATAGTTGTGCAAGTTACAGTTAGTACAAAAATAAATGTTGGTTCAAAACAGTAGTGTGGGTAATGCTGGTGAAAATTACAGTTAAAAGCGTGTGTTTGAATTCATATGGTTAATTTTGTTTGTGGTTTTGATATCAGTGTACTCAAACAGCACACAGGATGTGGTAAACCCTCTTTTGTACCAAGGATTCATTGAGGAAACTGTGGAATTGCTTGAACTTGACCAGGCACAATTCACTGTAAGTCCTTTTAACTATGTTCAATCTTAAATTTTTATTATCACAGTGAAACTCTTTAAGTACTTTTGTTACTTTGTCAGTTTATTATTGCTGTTGTTGTTTGTTTGTTTGTTTTATTTTTATGGAGGGTGGAGTGGGTCAATCATCTTTGACATAAAAACTATACTAACCTTGGAGGAAAGAGTGTGATAAGATTTTGACATGCACTTTTTTTGTCTCGGTAGGATATCAGAACAGCAGCTATCCGTACGCTGACTGCCCTTGTGCACATGGAATCCAGTCCAAGGTATTGTTTTAAGAATGTCAAAAGAGAAAAAAATCAGTAATGAGCAGTCACTGAAATTCCCCCATCAGTAGTGGTTCTGGCTGCCTTAGACTTTCAGTTTGAATGATTCTTTTGCCTGTTTTGCTATTATTATTCTGATTATAAAATGTACACCACTTGCTATTTAAATACATTGACTGTTTATTTGCCCAGGAGTTGAAATATTTGTTTGCAAATCTTACACTGACTTTTTTCTTTTAACTTTTAGGGTAAACACTGTTATAGACTGTACAGGTTTAGCATCCTATCATGGCTTTCTACCAACACTCACTCGAAACTGCATACAGTCTCTCACAGGTACAAACAGAAAGTACAGTAAATTTCATTAGTAAATAAAGTGTTTGTGAAAGGCTTTCTAAAATGGACACCTCATCAACATACATTATCTTTGAAATTTGTACCTCCTAGAAGCTGTAGCTGTACTATACAGTGCACAGTTGTTCACATGTAGACATCTTTAACCCTTTAAGTCCCAATAGTGACCAACATCAAGTTTCTCCTAACGATATCCATACAATGTCAAGAGATTAGGTTATGAGAATTAATTAAATGATATCCAAAGAAAAAATGCTTTGATCTTTTCTCAAATTCTCTCAATGTATTCTTTAAAGAAATGTATAGAGACCAGTTTGGAGAATTTGCTTGTGAATATTGGGGCTTAAAAGGTTAATATAGAATTGGACAGTATGGGTTTGTCTTTTTGATGCCTAGAAACAGGTTTGACTGTATACCATCGGGTTCTGGTTTATTTATTACGTTCTAGTATAAAAATATTTAACAGATTATCGTCTTGTTAAGTTTCTGAATATTGTTGCTGTTGTCTTCTTTAGATCCACTTTCAGATTCACTTCCCCTACCATTTGCAACTGGTCTGTTTTCATTTCTGTACCACTTAGCATATTATGAAGTTGGTAAGTGTGACCTTTCTCTATGGCATGTTTAGTGTATTCGCAGGGAAAGCACTGATCCTGCAAGCATTTAAGTACAACTTGTTGGAAATTTGGAAATTTTATTTCTTATTCTGCTTACTACAAATGCTTTAACTCGCATTGAATGAAGGCCACCATTGAGGGTAAATAAGTTTTACAAGTGCCCACTTTAAAAACGAGCTCCCCCATCTCTCCCCAAAGATAGAAAAAAATCACTAAATTTAATGTCAAAAAGTAGAATAGAAGGATTTCAATGCCAGAATTTAGAGGACCTTTAGGAAACAGGACTTTGAGAGCAATCACACATCTAGATTTGTGTTCTCTCTTGCAGGTGCATCTGTACATTCTGTTTCAGTTATAGTTTACATTGTGTACATGTACTTGAAATAAAGGCAATGCTATTTCCTCATTTACCTCTTAGGAGCTGAAGCATTAGTTTCTTGTGGTTTGTTAGAAGCACTTCTTCGTGTGGTGGAACACCAAGGGGGAGACAGTCACCTGACGGTAAGAAAGAAAAAGAAAATGAAACATGGAGCAAACAATTTTGTTTTGCATCTGAGAGCTATTTGCCGTAGTATATGACGTGAAGTATATGTAGGTCAAGTAGAATGGTTCCTACCAAATAATTGAGAAGGGACTATCCACAGACTCAAGTGAGAGATCCTTGTCAAAAATATTATTATTATTTAAGTAAACTTTGTACTCTTGGACAAAGGGATGTTAATTTTGTTGATGTGTTGTAAATGTTATGTGGTTTGTACACATTGTAGTTTGTTACAAGGGCCATACGCATAATGGAGTGGATAGCTAACATGGATCTATCAGGATACCAGAACCAGAGTGGGTTGACTGCCATCGTCAACAGACTTGAGGTACATTATGTAACACTTTAAACTATTTTTTCTAGTGGTGGTTGTTTTGGCTGTTTGATTTATATCTTGTTTACGTTTGTGGGAAATTTGCAGCAAGAAATCAGGGAGTGCCAGCCTTTTCATGGAGCAATACTATCACCAGACTTACCCTCCCCTCCTTCCAACCAGCAAGATAGTGTAGCTATGGAAACCAGTGAAAACCAGGGGACCCAAGAAAATGCCACACAGTCACACCAGTCTGATGATGCACCTTCGCAATCAGAAGCATCTGAAGAGGTTCCCATGGAGACTGAGCAGCCTGAAACAAGTACAGCAGGGGTCAGTGATAATAATATGGAGGTAGATGAGGAAGAAACAGAAAAAGGAAAGGCTATGGTTGATGCATCAGTCGCTGGCCCAACTTCTGCCCCTAATCCCGTCAGCAAGAATCGGTGCTTACCCCAAAGAGCAGCTTTGATCAAGGCTGTTCTTAGCTTTCTTAAGAAATCCATCCCTGATCCATCCTTCTCAGAGAGCATTAGAAATGGTAAGTATTATTATTATTATTATTATTTTAATAGTAATAATAAATGCATTTTTAACCATCCACGAAGAATATCTGTGTTTGACGGAAACAATGATTTTTTTTTTTCAAATTAATTATAGTTATGGATAGTTCACTACCGACATCACTGAAGCACATCATCAGTAACGTAGAATACTATGGACCAGTTTTATTTATGGCAGGTATGATGCTATTTTGCTTGCTCCATTCCAAGCTTGTTAACTGTACTTTGTTTCACTGCCAAGGTTAGCACCTTATGGTTCTCCTTGAAAATTAATAATGCATGAAATTGCCAAGTAAGGATGCACAATGCACTACAAAGAAATAAGCTTAACTAAGAGTTATGCAGCCTTTTTGTTTATGCAGTGTAGTGCTTGATTGAGGAATCCTGTGAGAAAAAAACAGACTTATTATAATGCTGTAAGGTTATGATGTTGGGAACAACTACCTTATTTATCACTGATGTGGATTTCTTGCCCATTTTTTAACAGCTATTGATGTGGTGACAGTGTACGTTTTTCATGAGCCGTCTCTTCTGTCCTCCCTTCAAGACAATGGCTTGACTGGTGTGATGCTGAAGGCTTTGGTAGTCAAAGAGGTACAGTGATATTCCCTATTAATTGCCACTTCTGCTGACTTGATTCGTCAGAAAGGTCGGTAATCTTAATGGTGCACCAGAGCTATTTTTGAAGAAACATAATGTATTGTATACATTGTATGTTGAAAACACAACAAAAATCTCAAATCCCTGGTTACTTTTACATTTCCACACCTACTGTATCTTATTGTACTTACATGTAGTGCTGCCATATTGTCGGTGTCTCCTCCATTAATCGTGGTAAAGTACATAATGATTGTACATGTACACTATAAATACCATCAATATGCATGTATAAAATATAATGTTTTTTCCCCTTCTTTCAGGTTCCTGCTACGAGGGAAGTTCTCTCTTCCCTTCCTAGTGTGTTAAGTGCCCTGTGTTTGAATAATCGAGGTCTTCAAGCCTTTATGAGGTGCAAACCTTTTGACAAGTTGTTCAGAGTATTGCTATCTCCAGACTATCTTCCAGCCATGAGGCGCAGAAGAACCTCAGAAACCTTGGGTAGGCCCAGTTCTGTGTTGGTTGTCATCACAATGTTCTAACCTCTAATGTAATGTCAGTAATTACCCATCATAATATGTTGTTGTGTTTGTGTTTGTGCAGGTGAAACTGCTTCCAACCTTGGAACTGCAATGGATGAACTGATGAGACACCAACCCACGCTTAAAACCGATGCCATGACAGCCATCATTAAGGTATTATTTGTTACTCTAGCAGTTTTATGAGAGTAGTTTTTCAGCAGCAGGTTCCTTTTCTAGTTAGATCAGCAAATCAGCATCATAGGTAAGAGTGTCATTACCGTGTTTTGGCTATTTTAGGAGTATGATTTTACTATTATGCAGAGTATCCTAGGTGATACACGTATGGCTTGGTTGAGAACAGAGTACTAGGCAGAGATAGATACTATAGTGTGTGTGAAAAATATCCTGAAATTAGTCTCAATTTCAACTCAAATAATTATTCTTCTTTGCTCTGACTTAATTAAGGGCATACAGTTGTATTAGTAAGTAGAATACAGTTATGTGTAGAAGTCTATCAGAAATCACTTGGGGTTTATTTCTAGGGGCACCTTAAAATCATTGTTGTATTGAAATGCAAGCAAGCAAAGATACAATCACCGGCACCTATTTTGTAGAGTTTCCTAGAGTTGTATTTCTGCATTGAAAATGGGTCTTGCTCTTTTTAGCTCTTACAAGAGGTCTGCTCCCTTGGTCGGGACCCAAAATGCATTGGTTTCAAGATGGGTGCTAAAACAGATGGAAGTGACACAGACAGTGTTACTGGACTGGTACAGGGTCCAGGGCGAGTGATATCTGGTGCAGAAGAACCCATGTCTGATGAAGAAGAGGATGATGATGATCGATTCAGTTTTACAACCACTGCCAGTGCGGCTAAGATCTTGGCTGAAAGTGACAAGACCAAGGATAGCTCAAAGTATGTCTTGATCATTATCATTGTTGTTATTGTTACATGCACTTTGATTTATTTGCATACTTGGCAAAGGCAGTTATACATTTATTGATTCTACATGTAGTTAATGTCTGTTAGTAGATTGACCATTCTTACTTACAACTTAAGGATGTGATATAGCAAAATATACCCCCCATGATGAATAGTTTTGAAATCTTTGTCAAGCAGGAAAAGTTAACTAAGCTCGTTTCTTTTCTGTAATTTTTTTTTTTTACTGTAAAGGACTGCTGAAGAAGAGAAAAGGACCTTTATTCCACTCATGGATTATATTCTGAATGTGGTATGTTGTTTAGCATGTGCTAATGAAATATTTTAGTGTTTTGATCAGCAAATAAGTGCACAGCCAGCAGGTGTTGCATCATACATATTAAAATTATTTATACTGTGTAAGAAATCTTAAGAATTTAAAAAGGCTAGGGACTTCGTATTTGCTTGACAGCACCACTGATTTAGAAGAACATCAGAGGATGTTTAATTTAAATGACCTTGAATTTTTCTATTGTCAATTTACACTGTTTATTATATTTCTGAAAATCTTAAACTGAGAGATTTTAACTTTCACTCAGGTCCGTTTTGTGGACTCAATACTCAGTA